CAAATTTTCCATTATATGTATACATCTTCTTCATCTATCGATTGCTTTCATATCTTGGCTATTGTAAGTAATGTTGCAATAAACATAGGGTTGCATATTTTTTTCAAATTAGTGTTTTTGTTTTCTTTGAATAAATACCAAGAAGTGGAATTGCTGGGTCATACGGTAGTTCTATTTTTAGTTTTTTAAGGACTCTTCATACTGTTTTCCATAGTGGCTATTGAAATTCACACTCCCACCCACAGTGCATGAGGCTTTCTTTTCTTCACATCCTAGCCAACACTTGTTGACTTCTTGATAATAGCCATTCTGACAGTTGTGAAAGGATATCTCATTGTGGTTCTTAGTTGCATCTCCTTGATGATTAGTGATATTGAACATCTTTTTATATATCTGTTGGCCATCTGTATGTCTTCTTTGGAGAAATGTCTACTAATGTCCTTTGCCCATTTTTTTTTAGCAGATTGGTGTTTCTTACTATTTTTTATTGAGTAGTATTTTGGATATTATTGAGTTATATTTTGGATATTAACCCCTTATGAACATATCATTTGCAAATATATCCTTCCATTCAGTAAATTGCCTTTTTATTTGTTGATGGTTTCCTTTTCTGTACAGAAGCTTTTTATTTTTATGTCCCATTTGTTTATTTTTAGTTTTGTTTCCCTTGCCCAAAGGACATATCCAAAAATATATTACTAAGACTAATTTCAAAGAGTTTACTACCTATTTTTTCTTCTAGGAGTTTTATGTCTTCAGGTCTTACATCTAAGTATTTAATCCATTTTGAGTTTATTTTTTTTATTAACCCTCCCTTATATGGTCAATTAATCTATGACAAAGGATGCAAGAATATACAAGAGAAATGACGGTCTCTTCAATAAGCGGTGTTGGGAAAACTGGACAGATACATGCCAAAAAATGAACTAAGAGCTTTTGGTTTTGAGGTGAAAGATAACAGAGGTAAAGTGCCATATTCATTATATCATAACATGATTGATGACTGTTGGTGCTGACTTTGATAACCTGGCTGACATAGTGTTTGTGAAGTTATTTCCTTTCTTCCTCCTTTCCATGTGTTACTTCACACTTATGGAGTAGGGGGCTACATTCTATTTCACTGAGTTGGGGAGTATCCACATAATTTATTTGGAATTCTTCTGTATGAAAGACTTGTCTCTTCTCCCCCATTTACAAATTTATGTAATAATTTATTTATATCAGTATGCATTCATTGATATGTATTTTATACTTTGAGTTATAACCCAATACTATTTGTTTTATCTTGTTACTTAAATGTTCTGGCTTCTTCCATGGACAGTTTTTTCCATTGACAGTTAACCATATTTTGTCATCCTAACCATAGTCTGTTCTTCACCTAGTTTTCCAGGACTGCTACGCAAATTACCACAAAGTTGATGGCTTAGATAGAACAACAGAAATTTATCCTCTCACCGTTCTGGAGGCTAGAAATCCAAAATCAGTTTCATTGAGCCAAAAGCACAGTGTTGGCCTCGCTGGGCCCCTGCTTGAGGCAGAGAACCCATTCCTCGCCTCTTCCAGCTTCTCGTGGATGCCAGCAACCCTTAGTTGTGGCCAGCTGCCTCCCTCCCATCTCTGCCAACCTGACCACACTGCCTCTGCTTCTCTGTGTCAGTGCCAAAGTTCTCTCTGCCTCCCTCTTATAAGGTTACGTTTGAATGTATTTAGGAGTCAGCTGGGTTATCTAAGGGTCTTCCTTACAGAATAACGCAGCCAAGGCCATTTTCCTTACAGAGTAACATCTCCAGGTTCCAGGACTTGGAAATGGATATCTTTGGGGCCATTAGTCAGCTTGACACGGCTCCTGTGCCCCTTCGTCACACCCTAATGTAGTGCCCTCCCTCTTATAAGGTTACGTTTGAATGTATTTAGGAGTCAGCTGGGTTATCTAAGGGTCTTCCTTACAGAATAACGCAGCCAAGGCCATTTTCCTTACAGAGTAACATCTCCAGGTTCCAGGACTTGGAAATGGATATCTTTGGGGCCATTAGTCAGCTTGACACGGCTCCTGTGCCCCTTCGTCACACCCTTATTAATGTAGTGCTTGCTTATTTTTTTAAGCACTTTGGTACACTCTGACACTACAAGATGCTCCAGGCTCATCTTATATATTCCTGTGCAGTGCTAGAATCAGGTATTTCTCTGAAAAGCCCTGGTCCCTCTTTCAGAAAATGGTATTAGCAACCATGATCTTGATGGTAGATAGGCTTGTTGCTACTGGGGTGTTGTTTCTTTTAGGCACTCAAAACTTATGGGGCAAAGAAGTATATATGTGTATACTAACCTGTGTATACACACATCCAAAAATATTTCTGTATTTAGCCATGTGTGTCTATATTAGGTTAAACGTGAGTTCTTACTGATGTAATCCATTACCACATGTGTCATTCTAGCCTTCTTCCCTTGATTACCTCTAAATTTCCACAATAGTGAAAAACCTGGTTCTCACTATCCACCATCTATTTGTTAAATTGTTTAATGCCAAAACCATGTATGGCAGTATAAGAATTATCAACCTATACACCCATGGGAAACAAAATTTATCAACTCGAGTACAGTGCTATGTGCAGCTCCCTTTTCCTTCAGTCTTACTACTCCATTTCCAAAGTTATTTAGTTCAGCATTCTTCCCCTAACCCCTCAGTGAGGTAGTTTCATACATGTGTAATACAGTATATTCTTTTTTCTTTTTTTTTATAGTTAGGTTCTTTTGTCACAATCTGAATTTTTTCCTATGACTCCAAGACACCCTAAAAAATTCTATATAAACTGTATGCAATGTTATACCTTTTATTGTAAAGTTTTATGAGTTTTTACAAATGCATAATGTCCCATATCTACCATTACAACATTATTAAAAAAACTAGAGGCCCAATGCACGAATCCGTGCAAGGGGCTCAGCCCCGCCGCCGCCGGGGCCACCTGGGCCCTCGCAGCCTTGGCTTTGTCTGGAAGGTCGTCCAGAAGGACATCCGGTCTAATTAGCATATTATACTTTTATTATTATAGATAGTTTTGTCATTCTAAACATATCCTGTTCTTCACCTATTTATCTCTTACCCCACCCAAACCCCTTCCTACTGCAGATCTTTTTCTGTCTCTATAGTTTTGCCTTTTCCAGAATATCATCTAGTTATAATTATATGGTATGTAGCCTTTTAGATTGGTTTATTTCAGTTACAACATGCATTTAAAGTTCCTCCATGTCTTTTCCTGGCATGGTATTTCATTTCTTCTAATTGCTCAATGATAGTCTGGTGTAGGGATGTATCACTGTTTGTTTATCCATTCACCTATTGAAGGGCATCTCAGTTGCTTTCAGTTTTTGGTGATTTTTACTACAGCTGCCAAAAACATTGGCATGCAGATTTTTGCATAAATAAACATTTTAAAGTCAACTGAGTAAATACCTAAGATCAAAATTACTGGATTGTATGGTAAGACCATGTTTAGTTTTGTAGCAAACTGCCAACTATGAACAAGAGTTCTTTTTTTAAATCCTTACTCAAGGGAGAGGGGGAGACAGAGAGAGAGAAAGAGAGACCTCAGTTGGTTTCCTCCCCTACATGCCCGCCTGACCGGGATAGATCCCACAACCTGGGTACGTGTGCTGATTGGAATCTAACATGCCACCAGTCGGTGTACAGGATGATGCTCCACCCAACTGAGCCACACTGGCTAGGACTGAGTGAGAGTTCTTAATCCATATCCTCATCAGCATTTGGTGCTGTCAGCTGTATGGTAAGACCATGTTTAGTTTTGTAGCAAACTGCCAACTATGAACAAGAGTTCTTTTTTTAAATCCTTACTCAAGGGAGAGGGGGAGACAGAGAGAGAGAAAGAGAGACCTCAGTTGGTTTCCTCCCCTCCATGCCCACCTGACCGGGATAGATCCCACAACCTGGGTATGTGTGCTGATTGGAATCTAACATGCCACCAGTCAGTGTACAGGATGATGTTCCACCCAACTGAGCCACACTGGCTAGGACTGAGTGAGAGTTCTTAATCCATATCCTCATCAGCATTTGGTGCTGTCAGCATGGTGGCTTTTAGTTGTTCTAATAGGTGTGTAGTGGTATCTCATTGTTGCTTTATGTTGCAATTCCCTAATGACATGTACGGTGAACATCTTTTCATACACTTATTGCCATTGTATATCTTTAGTGAGATGTCTGCTCAAATCCTTTTTTAAAATGCAGAGAACTTTTACCAAGTATGAAGCTACCTACATTGACATATCATAATCACCCAAAGTCCATAGTTTACCATAGTTTCAATCTTAGTTAGTACATTCTTGGTGTTGAACATATGTGGTTTTAGACAAATGTATAATGACTTATGTCCATAATTATAATATCATACAGAGTATGTATTTTCACTGCCCTAAAAATCCTCTGTGCTCTTCTTACTCACCTCTCCATCTACTTATGGCAAACACTGATATGTTTATTGTTTTGCCTTTTATAGAAAATCATACAGTTGGAATCAGATAGCACATAGCCTTTCCAGATAGGCTTTGTTCACTTAGTAATAATCACTTAAAGTTCCTGCATGTCTTTCATGGCTTGGTAGCTCATTTCTTTTTAGCACTGAATAATATGGCTGTTTGACATAAGAATTATTTTGAGATGAAGGCAATTACGAAGCAGTAAATACAGGAAACGCTCTCTTTATGCTTCCTTTTTCTGCCTAGAGGCAGGATATAAATTTTACTTTACTGAAGATAAATCTAGACCAGCGATTTTCAACCTTTTTCATCTCATGACACACATAAATTAATTACTAAAATTCTGCAGCACACCAAAAATTATATTATATGTTTTGCTGACATGACAAAATATAGGAATAATTTTTATTGATTTATAAAAAAATAGTAAGAGCAATTACTTACCTTTTTTGCTCCAAGGTGACTTTTTAAAAAATCAGCTACTTGTATATAAGAATTTCTGGTACCGCCCTGGCTGGTTTGGCTTGGTGGATAGAGCATCAACCTACAGAGTAAAGGGTCCCATATTAAATTCTGGTTAAGGGTTAAGGGCACATGCCTGGGTTTCGGGCTCAATCCCCAGTGGGGGGAGGGGGAGAGGGGCTACAAAAATATATTTTTTGCCAATCTGAAAAAAAATAGGTACAATTTTGATGAATTTAAAAATAACAGTAATTACCTACCCTTTTTGTTCCAAAGTGACTTTTAAAAAAATCAGGTTCCTGTACTTATATGTAAGGTTTTCTGGTACCAAAAATTAACCAATCAGACACAAACTTATTATGTAACATGACCAATAAGATGCAACACTGTTATATGACCTATATATTTATGGTTCAACAAAAATTAACCAATCAGACACAAACCTATTATGTAACATGACCAATAAGATGCAACACTGTTATATGACCTATATATTTATGGTTCAAGACAGGACATTCACACTGGGTGTCTATTGTTGTGTTGGTAGTTGTCATTTTTTTATTTGACAATCTAAGGGAAAAGAGGTCAGTACCTCTGACTAAACAGTCAGGTATTGCATGTTGTAAAAATTCTTGTGACAAACAGGTTAAAAGTTGTTGATCTAGACACTTAGCCCAGAGATGTCACCAGAGGAGTCAGTAGAAAACCATTAATCTATTAATTTTACCCCATATATTTACTTTCTCACAGGTTAAATCACTAAAACTTTTTTCTTTGTCTTGTCACTCCTCTAAAAATCACTGTTCTTTAGTTAAGATGTTATACAAGCCAGAGTTCCACACCACCTCTTTGAGTTATTCACCTTTGAGTTTCTCCCATGTAAATATGAGATATCCTATATAATAAAGAGCTAATATGCAATTGGTCATCATGCCCTCACGCCATAATGGCTCAGACACTCAACACTGGGGAGAGAGGAATGGGGACCAGCCAGGCTGTGGCCCGGGAGTGGGACAAGCCAACCTGCCCCGTGGTCTCAGATGCCAGTGGCTGTGCCTGCGCCTGCGGCCTGGGAGAGGGACAAGCTGCACACCCTGTGGTCCCGGGCGCTAGCCCCTATTGCTGCGACCCGGAAGAGAGACAAGCTGCCTGCCCCGCAGTCAGGCAGGCAGGCAGGCAGGCAGAGATGGTTAGGGGCGATCAGGCAGGCAGAGGTGGTTAGGGGCAATCAGGCAGGAAAGCAGAGAGGTTAGGGGCGATCAGGCAGGCAGGCAAGTGGTTAGGAGCCAGTGGTCCTGGATTGCAAGAGGCAGTTGGACATCCCCCAAGGGGTCCCGGATGGTAGAGTGTGTAGGCCAGTCTGAGGGGCCCTGCCCCCATGCACAAATTTTGTGCACTGGGCCTCTAGGTTAATAAACTTGTTTGTTTTGCTCTTGTCAACTTGTTTTTTTGTTGCAGAATCCCAGTGGATAATCTAAGATGAGTAGAGGAAAAGTTCTTACTCTCTTATTTCATTTAAGTTATCAGAATATTGGTAATAGAGTTGTTCATATATTCTTCTATTTTCTATTCAATATCCATGATATCAGTAGAGATACCTCCTCTTTCATTATTGATATTAACAATTTGCATCTTTTCTCATTTTTGTTATTGATCTTTTCAAAGTATAAACTTTTGATTTGGTTAATGTTCTCTATTAAGTTACTGTTTTCAATTTATTTGATTGCTCCTTTAATTTTTATTATTATTTCTTTTCTACTTGGATAGGTTTATATTACTTTTTTTTCTATATTTTCTTAATGTGGAAGCTTAACTTGATTTTATACCTATCTTATTTTCAAATACACACATATTCAGTGCTATAAATTTTCCTCTAAGCACTGCTTTCACTGAATCCCATAAATTTTTCAAGTTGTATTTTCATTTAGTTTAAAATATTCTAATATCTCTAAAATCTTTGATGCATGTTTTATTTATTTAGATATGTGTTGTTTATATCTGTATGTTTCCAAATAACTTGAGCTTGGTTCCACTGTGGTCTGAGAACATAATTTGGATGATTTCTATTATTTAAAAATTTGCACTGTGTTTTATGTCCTAGAACATAGCCTATTTCTGTAAATTTTCCATGTGAGTTTGAGAATAACATGTATAATGCTGTTGTTGGAGGAAGTATTTTATAAATGTCAATTAGCTGATGGTACTGTTTTGTTCAGCTATATCCTTACTGATTTTTTCTACTGTATTTACCTGTCACTGAAAAATGGGGTGTTGAAGTTTACAATCATAGTTATGGATTTGTCTATATTTCTTTGCAGTTCTATCAGGTTTTGCCTTATGTATTTTGATGCTCTGTTATTAGATGCAAAACATTTAAAGTATTATGTCTTTTTAGAGAACTGACCAATTTATCTTTATGTAATACCCTTTTTATCCCTGCTAATTTTTCTTGTTCTTGATTCTACTTTGTCTGAAATTAACATAAGTACTCCATCTTTCTTTTACTAGTGTTACTGTGGTACGTCCTTTCACATCCCTTATTTTTAACGTTACCATCTTGCAGAAAACATAGAGTTGGGTCTTGTGTTTTATCTACTACTACAATGTGTCATTTAATCAGTACATTTAGAACATTCACATTTTAAGTGATTTTTGATATAATTGAATTAATATATGCTATGTTTTCAAGGGTTTTCTATTCATCACATTTGTTCTTTGTTTCATTTTTTTTTAATCTTCCCTCTTTCTCCCTTCTCTGGTTTTAACTGAGCATTTCACAGGATTCCATTTTCTCTCCTCTTTCAGCAAATCAATTATATTTGATTTCCCCTGTGTTCAGTGGTTTCCCTAGAGTTTGAAATATACATTTACAGCTAATCTAAGTTTACTTTTCAAATACCATGTGCCATTTCATAGGTAGTGCGGGTACCTTTTAATGGGCTTATGTACCTGAGCTGTGACCTTCACAAAAGTTGTTGTTTTTTTCCACAAAGTTTATTAGTCTTTTTCCCCCCTCCCTTTAAGTGAGACAGGAAAGTTAGGTTTCTGAAGGTAAAACTCCAAAAAGTATGGAGACCCTAAACCTGAGGCTCTGGCAGTTCCTCACTCTCAAGTTATTCAACACTCAGATCCCAAACATTCAAATTTCCATTTAAATGCTCTTACCTGCTTATGGCTCCAGTGGCTTCTGCTCCACTTAAGCTGATCTCAGTTAAGATTCTCTGTCTTCACCTGTCTCTCCAGACTTGGAGTGGCAGTTGTCCTGGGACTGCAGTATCTCTACAAGAAAATAACTGATTTTTCAGTTTTATCAGCATTTTTTTTCCTATTGCAAGAATAGGAGTGATGATTTCCCAGCTCTTCATGTGTCAGAACTGAAACCCAAAGTCTTACATATTATTTAATCTATAAATTTCCCCTCACTCTTTCTCTTCCCTCATGATCTTTTTTTTGAAGAAAGTAGATTCTGATATTCTAAACTTTGCTGATTGCCTCTTTTATGGGGACTTTTCACATATTCTTCTGTTTCCTATATTCTCTGGAAAGCTAAAAGCTTGATCAGATGCAGCTGAGATTTATGACATGACTATTTTATAAGGATGTTGTATAGTTCCATTAGGAGACATATAATGTCTAGTTCTTTCTCATATTGTGTGGGTGACATTAATACTGGGCAATGGGCTTGCTGTTGTCAGCCTGATCCACCATTAGAAAGCTCCCCGTCAGCAATTCACCTAATGGCTTTAATAGCCGTTGATGATCATGGCCTAAATCCATTATTTCATTAGGAGTTCAATGGTGATATTCCAATTCTAATATTGCTTCAATATTTATTCACTTTTAAAGGATCTTTCCAAAATTAAGCATTTGGCACCCTTAAATACTATTTGTACAAGAAATGTGATGTAAATGCTTAATTGTATCACCTCACTTACTAGTTTTCAGAATAAAGTTTTGATTCCATAGTATCTTCAAAAGGTGACTAATGACAGTTTTTGTATGTAGTATTAAGAACTGGTGGATTTTAACATATTTGATTTGTCTCAATCCATTCTCATTATCCCTCCTCCCTTTTTTTGCTAATATTATCTCTTCTTTGGCAAGTGCAATCAACTTCAAATTGGCTCTGGTGTCCATTTGACATGAATCCAGCTGTCTCTAATAGCTTTCTTGTTTTCAGTATAAGATATTTCAGACACATTTTATGCCTTTCCTGGTCCAGAATTGGTATTAGCCATTTCTCTAAGGAGCCCTACACTCTCCAAGCCCTACACTCTTAATACAAGCAACACATACAAAACAGTTTGAAATATCAGTGATGATAGACTGCAATTTGCTAATATTTTACACCAGTGGTTCTCAACCTTGGCTGCACATTAGAATCACCTGGGAATCTTTTTTAAATCCTGATTTCTGCGCCTCATCCTCCAGAAATTCTGTTTCTTTGTTATGGAGTGAGGCCACAACATTAGTAACAAAGAAACAGAATTTCCGGAGGATGAGGCCCAGAAATCAGGATTTTAAAAAGATTCCCAGGTGATTCTAATGTGCAGCCATGGTTGAGAACCACTGTTTTACACCATTCTGTTGGTTCTTGACCCTTAACTATATGTAGGATGTTTTTCAGGATAAGACATATCATTACTGCAGATAATTCTGTAAAATAAAGTTAATGTCCTAATTATCTACTTGCTTTAAATAAGATTCCATACAACAGTATTCTAGTGCACCACAATAATATTTATTGATCTCTGAACACTAACTTGGTATTCTTCCTTTTTGGCTACATTTATTTGGATACTATTGTTTGTACTTCTGCATTATCAGCTCTCCAGTCTATTTCAACTATCATCCTCTGTAACTGCACCTCCTCTCTCCTGACACTTTTAGATCTTATTCCCAACTAAATTTCACCCAAATACCCAACACTCATCCTAGACATCCTGGTCAATGAATGCATGGAACTTTTACTATTTAGTAATTTCCTTATCCCACTTATCTTCTATTACTGTTCTATAAAGGAGGGTACATGGTCTGCTCTAAGTGTGTACATAGCAATAATTTTTTCTCCCTTTACCCTACATTTTATTCGACCTCTTCAAACTTTATTCCACGTAGAAATCCCCTGTGGTCTTATTAAGATGCAATTCTGATTCAGTAGGTATGAGGTAGGGGCCAAGGTTCTGAATTTCTAACAAGCTCTCACTGTACAAATGCTACTGGTCCTAGTCTACACTTTGAGAAGCAAGGCTCTACTATGCTGGGGTTATAAGCCCCTGTGAGGAGATATTTTAAACACACACCTTTCTCTGTTCCTCTCTACCCTTATGCTTGAAGCTCTTTCCCCTAACTTCATCTAAAATAAAAGATTAAAAGACATCAGCTTGGATGACTGATACACGACCAGCTTTATGACAGTGAGAAATCTATTACATCGTGTAGTAATTTTAAAAGATGTTTCAGATTATTTGGCATTTTCTCTTTTCAAAAAGGGAAGTCTAAGTCCCCTTACCTTGCAAGCAGATCAGCCTTAGAAATTTGCCTCTAAAGAACCGCAGAGGAAATGATTCTGAATAATTCCATGTCTAAGGTCATAAAGGGAATGCAAGTTCTGCTTGCTGCTCCTTAGACTGTGTATCTGTTCTGTTTATTAATATTTTTATTCCTGTGTCTTTTCTTGGAAGCTGCCTGAAATTATTTTAGAAAATAGAGAAGGTATAAATAAGCAATGATTTTCTTGTTTCTCAATCATTTGCCTCTACATTCACATGTCTCATTTTATTTTGTTTCATTCTTTTGTGTTGTCTCAAAAACATTTAATGTCCTATTTCTTTTTCCTTCTCCAGTATTTTTATTCTCTTGTCACCTGACTTGTTGCCATCTGTTTTAAATAAGTATAAAGTTCTATCTTGAGAAAACCTCTATTCTTTTACTACTGCCATGATTATTACTTTTTTCAAAGTCAATTTTCTGAAGACTGTTTCACTTCTATTTTATTGATGCTCAAACTGAGTTTTCACTTGCATATCACTATGCAAAATTGAACAGCTCCTCCAAATTAAACCTGTGAGTATGGTTGGTGCTTTAATTTAATGTGGAAGACTATCAATAGAATTCTACTACTATTACACAAAAATATTTCTTGATCAGACTGGAAAACCACTCTTTAATTATTGCATGTATTGTCTCTAGTGAACACTTTTTGCCAATCTATTCTTTAGCAATTTGTAAAATCACATTATTTTTCAAAACACTGTAATCACATCTCCAACATTCACTCAGACAGAAAACACTATTTATGTATTGTTCACCATTTGGTCCAATAGATTATCTTTGCAAAAGAAAACCTTGGTAATGATAGGAAAAGTGGTATTTTTCATTAATATTTGTGCTGTGTGTACAATTATGTGATAAATCTTTCCTCTTTGACACTGTCCTCAAGTACTCTAATGTCTTCTCTTTATTTACTTTGATACCATCTCTCCCCAAAACTGATGAGCACCGATTAGGATTATTTTGGGGGGTCAGGGGCCTGCCACTGGATGTAGAAGGGAGGACAGGATCTGTGTCAGAGATACTCCAGGGTAGAAACATGTTTACCACATCGATGGGAGTGGATGTGATGAATTTCAACAGGAATGTTAGGCTATATGTTCTGCATCTAATGAGAGTTGTCCAATGAAGCCCTAATTTTTAGAAGCTGATTATTTATTCAAAACTCTATTTTTTGGATTACCAGCTCTCTTCTTAAAATTATTCAATGGTTACTTATTTCCCTCAAGATAAACCTAAGCTCTACCCTGGATTAATAAGACCTGTCCTATCCAATCTCATCCTTGCCTCTTTATTCCTTCCATCCCCATTTCTCAACTGTCAGACAAACTTATCTATGTTTCTGCCAAACTAAACTATTTGCTTGTCCACAATTGTGACACATTTACTTGTGTAACCCAAGCTTTGCAGACTCTGTTCTTTTTATCTAGATTTCCATCTTCTATTCTTCTTACCCAACCACCTTCTTACTACCAGTTGTCCGACTATCACCTGCTACCCTTCAATTCTCAACTGGGGTATCAAACCTCCAGAAGGCCTTTCTGACTACCCATGTTGGGGTTAAGTGCCCTTTCTCTACAGTCATATAGCATCCTATCATATCAATGTGACTACTATATTGGACTCACCTTCTCACATGTCTGAGGGAGGGATTATGCTTTTTATTGTTAACATTATGTCGCCTGCACTTAAAGAACCTAACACAATGCCTGGCACATGATATACTTGGGATGAATGTTATATGTTGAATGAGAACTGCACATTCATTCCTTTCAATACTTAAAAAGAGTAGGTTTGGTTTTCTAAAGTAGTCAAAAGTAGGAAGATAAAGCAAATGATCAAGGTTAATAAAAGTATTTTTGTGTGATAATGTAACACCTCCCCTCCCTTAAACATCACAACTACAGAATGAGACATTTTCTTATATCACTAAAATCACACCCAGAGAAGAATTTAGAGTGTGAGAAAATATCTTAGAAGAAGGAGACTATCATACCTTAAAGAAACTTTGGAATGGGACAATTTCCCTTTGGCTGTGTAAGGAGAAGTTATGTAGAAAAGTGGTTCCAATTTTAAAAATTCTGGAACAAAATTCTAAGTTCTGGCCAGGCACACAGCTTTGGGGAAAAGAGTCCGCCTTGTGTTTCCTTTCCCTTGGCCAAAGAATGGCCTGACAGTGCTGCTGATCAGGGCACTGCTACACTGTGGGCATGTGGGACCCCTGGCCTTAACTGCCAGGAGCAAACCCAGGCACTGACACCACCAAAAATGCCCTGTGTAGAGAACTACTGCCTGATAACCATTCCTGTCTTTACTGTTCTGTCATCGTACAAAAGAAGCAGAGGCCTCTTAACTTGACTCGATTGTTACCACCATCACTTTTATTTGTTTCCAGGAGGGGTCCTGGGAGGTTCATTCAATTGGGTTCCTTTTCTGAATATGAATTTTTATCATTATTTAGTCCCTGCTAGAATATCTGAAATTTCATCCATAGATTCTTAATCTGGATTAAAACACTGACATTTTAGCACTGGCTGGTGTGGCTCAGTTGGTTGAGTGTTGTCCTGTTCACCAAAAGGTTGCTGTTTTAATTCCAAGTCAGGGATTAGGGCACATACATGGGTTGGAGGCTTGATCCCTGGTAGTGGGTAAGAGGCAGTCATTTAATGTTTCACTCTCACATTGATGTTTTTGTCTCTCTCTCCCTTTCCCTTCCTCTCTCTCTA